AAATATGTACCAATTAGCTTTAAGATTTTGCCTTCGTTTTAGATGCCAGTAAAACCATACACTAACGTTCCTGGTAATATTGGGATATCCTGATATCTATTCTTAGCACTTTGGGCCTAAGTGTTAGATATCGGATATTCCAATATTTTGATATTATGTTACTGATATTGATCTACCTTCTGGTATCTTACCAATATACTTTCAATATGCTGCACGTATTCGGGGATCTATAGCAGACTATCTAGTACATATCAAGAAACTTGTCTCCTGATATGTATGTACTAATATTTATTGATTCGGTCTGTGCAGACCAGTTATATTATAAAAAAATAACCAATTTGCATTCAGGTTTTAGTTATGATGAATTTACTATTGTCATAAAATAGACTTTTAATACATCTATTTTAAGTTAGTCTTGCAAGTTAGAACTCACAACACTAATTTTTTTTTATATAGAAACAAATTAAACATCCGAGAGGCCATATATTATGTTGCAGAATCATGGGATAAAGTTGAAGAATCAACCATTGTTAATTATTGAAAAAAAACTAGAATTCTTCCATTATTATTGGATACTGAAATTGATGATGCTACCTTTTCAGTTCAGGACTTAACAGATCTTGATAAGGATGATGTAGATAAATTAATCATAGACCTCACAACAAATTTGTCAGATCTAGTGATCGAATGCCAGCTAAATTAATTTAACTGTATCAATGATTTTCAAATGCCTACTGAAGATATTCTTGATAAAGAGCAAATCGTTAATATTGTGTTAGACGAACAGCAGGAATTAGAAGAAGGTGATGCAAGCGATTCTGATGAGAAACCACCTGAAATTCCTATAGTAGAAGGCTTAAACGGGCTAGAAAAATTTATTAGTTTTGCTGAACAGCAAGAAAGTTGTGATTTTAATGTGGAGGATTTAAAAATTTTTAGAAAATATTTGTCATTTATGAGAAGAAAATATGTAGAATCTATGAAACAAAAATCTATCACTAATTTCTTTTCTGTTTATAATAAATAACGAGGGGGTTTTTTTTAGCACGATTTTTTTTTATTATTTTGTTTTACCTATTAAAATAAACAAGGTTTCTATTTTTTCGAGAAAGTAGTGTTGTATAGCAATATATTAATCTCGGTCCATTGCTTGAAATAAACTTTTAATCAGATATACTTTAACAATTCGGCTCAAATCCGATTATTACCACATAATCCGGGGATAGAAATATTTATAATAAAAAAACTAACCTTATTACTACATAATTCAGTTTACCCAGATAGAAATATTTATAATAAAAAAAACTGCCTTTATTTTTCTGAAGTTATTCATATCATTCTACGTGACCAGCTTATAATTTTTGGCCCGCGTAAACAATTCAGATATTGTTATTTCATTTTATTTTTCGCTCTTTATTTTTCTAAACTGATGACTCTTAACTTTAATGTCTATACTGTAAAATTTTTAAAATGAATTTAGATGCTTTTAATTTTATCGCGCTTTTCAAAGAGATGTGATCTCTGCAGATCACAATGTCATGTAGAAATTAGAGACTCTTTAAATTTTAAGAATTTTACCGATTTATAAATACAGCCAATCGAAAATATGGTTCGCAAAAAGGTGTGACCTCTGCAGATCATAATGTCACGAGAAATCAGCTGATTCTAGTAAATATTTAGATTCTTAGAGATTCTGAATAAAGTATAACCGTTATGGTCGAAAATTATGATCAATAGGGAGTTAAAATCACAGAAATTTTTCATCTAATATACAATTTAGAATCTCTGAAATTTTCCTGAAAACCATCTTAAAAATCATGAGGTCACCTCTTTTTGAAAAGTGCTATAACTTGAATGTGCACTAAATGGATTAAGAATCACCTTTAAATTATTTGAATTTCTACTTAATATATTTAGAATCAATTTAAAGTGATTCTTAATCTGCATAGCAAGATTTCGTATCGACATATATTTATACCATGCTAGTACTATAATATACATTTCAAATTATGAGCAATGCACAATACATTTCAAAATTAAATAATTACAAAGTCAGGAGCCAGATGTCATCTGAATTTAGAAGATATGTATGGTATTCAACACTGCTCTAGCACAATGTTTAATATCTTCACTACATATTGCAGCAGTGGTATTAATCATTAACCTGAA